CCCAGGAGGGACCTGCTGCCCAGCTGCAGGGGTGCCATCAGCAAAGAGCCTCCAGTTGCCCCAGCTGCAGGGAGCCACCTCCCCCAGGGCCCTGCCCTTCCCGCAGGGGCCCCCCGGAAGGGGGGTGAGTGCAGGGGTACAAAAGCCTGGCTATTTGTCCCAAAGCTCTGACAGGCCATTTGTCCTCAGAGCTCTGCATGGGGTGGGGTCGGCCGAGGCTGCCGTGGGGCCTGCACTGTGGCTCTTCTTCTCCCTCTGTCTGCTCCTGCTTCCAGCCCTCCCTCCCACGGGTGTTGCCAGAGCACTTCCCAAAGGACATCCTACTTAATTACATCTCAGCATCTGCTTCCTGGGAAACCCAGTCTGTCTCTGATCTGCAGGAGATCTCCCAAGGCGTGAGCATCTCCCCATGCTGGGTGTGAGTCTACCAATGACAGATGCGTATTTTTTATAAGATACAGCCCCTGAATTCAAGGCAACTACTTCATCTGTAGTGCATCCAAAGAAACGGTGGACTGTGCATCGCTGGGGAAAAAGAAATTGCTCTGTTGTCCTTATGAACAGATGACATGTAGGCTCCTATGTCACACAAACCCTGCGTCATAGCTGCTGGTGATGACCCTCTCCGATTTCCTTGACTTGGCTGGTGCCTCCGTCCCCCAGCTGCTCTGAGTTTCGGCTGCTAACTGCTCAGGGCAGCACCCTTCTTTGGAGAACTGCCTTCATCTGATGGGAGCCACTTCGCTGATTGGTGCCCAAGAGGTTACACCCTAACTCCTGAAGGCAGCCCAAAGCCAGTGCCTCATGGTAGCCTATGTACAGGGTATGTACATCTCTGACGTCACTCGTGCTCCGGAGCTCCCATGGGATCGCGCTGAGGCTACACTGCGGTGGTGCGGCTGGGCTGATGTGTCTGCTGAACTTGGTGCTCGGGCCCACCCTGCTTCCCCCACTCCCACGGGTTTCACCTGAGACTCTGATTTCAATCGCTCGCTCACATGAGAATCCTGATCGCAGGCTCTGCCTCTAAGCAACCTGACCTCAGGTAATACCCTACTGGCGATCTGAGGGGTGTTTAAGGATCCTGTCATTTTGACTATAGTCACTGATTGCATGGGATAGGATTTCACTGTTCTCTTCAGGGTCCCGGCGCCTAGCATGGTCCGAGACATAGGAGGCTCTCAGTTCAGCTGTGGCTGGATAAACAGATGAAGGGGCGCATGGCACACCTCACTGACCCGCTCCCCTTGCTCTAACAGCCCGCAGCCAGTGCCCACTGAGGATTCAGCCCACACTCGGCTCTTTCAAGCCTGAACTGGCACCAGGAGCAGCAGTGACGCCTATGGGTTTATTTTCCCGAAAAGCAGAGAACTCATAAAGTCCCACAACCAAGTTTGTTTCCTAAAGAAAATTGTGGCAATTACGAGGCTAATTCCATCTGATTTCAGGTGTTCCTGCATAAAATCTCTGAGGACCGGGGATGGAGGAGAGACACAGAGGCCTGATTGAAAGGAGCCAAGCTCACAGCAGCGCTCCCCTCAGGCCGGTGGGCAGTGGGAGAGCTTTCCAGAATGGAAATGTAAATTTTCTGAGCTGCCCAACTGCTTTCCTTAGAGTTATTGGCAAGATTTCAAAAACGGTTATTAAAGATTATACACAGAAAATGTTCCGCTCTATAATTCGGTCTGTTTTTCTAAGCTTAAAAATCTAAGCAAATATTCAGTAGTTGGTTGATTCTTAACTTCCCAACCTGTTTAAGTAAAGAGTCAAAGGCTACAAAATAGTCATTCCCGGAACAGCCAGAGGCTATGTATGGAGTGATTCTCAAGTACAAGGGGCCGTTCCTTAAATCTGTGCATCGAAAGCCAGCACCAGCGAGCAGGTCAAAGGATAAGTCTGGGGGCCAGACAGACCTAGATTTAGCACAAGGCTCTGCCACCCACCCCTTCGTTGTCACAGACCTGTTGCTTTAACGTCCGAATCTCAGTCAGTCTCCTTCCCTGAAACTGGGGAACTAATGCCTGCTTCTTAGGGTTTTTTTCTGAGAGAATGAAGCATGTCACTTAGCATTAATAGGGTGACCAACTTCTCCAGCTGGCCCAAGACTGACCTGTTTAAAACGGAAAGGCCCAGGCCCTGGCCGGGTGGCCCAGTTGGTTGGAGAGTCGTCCCGCACACCAAAAGGCTGGAGTTTGAGTCCTGGTCAGGGCACATACCTAGGTGGATGTGTTTGATCCCCAGTCGGGGCGTGTATGGGACGCAGCAAACTCATGTTTCTCTCTCACATCAATGTTTCTCCCTCTCTCCCTTCCTCTCTTTCTGAAAATCAATAAAAACATATCCTCAGGTAAGAATTAAAAAAACCAAAAAACTGAAAGTCCCACCTTCTGGGAGCCTCCCCAGGACAGAGAATCACCCCAATGATAGCCATCAACATTAATTCTACCCACAAAACGATGTCAGCCAAACATACCAAATGGACACAGAAAGCTTAAGTCTTCTGAAACTATGACTATTGCTACTGCTACTTTTAAATAACATCAATAATAGGAATTGTATAAGACATGCACTTGGATAAAGGACAAACTGGAGTTCTGCCTTCCAATGATGGGCACTGAAGGATTTGTGCCCCACGCAAATCCATTTTCAAATGATTAATTTTCTAAATGTGATACAGTGTAAACAAGGAAGCATTTTATAAAAGAGAAGCTTTCAAGTCTGAGGCACCAGGGGGAAGGTGCCCATCCCTTTCAGAGCAGCTCGGGTATTCGGGGCTTAGTCATCAATGTAATTCAGTTACAACTTGGAAACCTCAGGTTATTTTCTCTAGGAGTTTGGAAAAGTTGCTTTGCCCGCCTATGAGCAAAGAGCAATATAGATACAGGAAACAATTATACCGTTTTGTTCCTCCGGGGTCTATGACACTTTCTATACTATAGATGTTTTCCCTCTGATGTGGTTTTCAACCAGCCAAACCTTTTTATTTAACATCCTACCCTCTTTAATTAATGACAGGAAAATAAAACGTGTCCTTATTGCAATTACTGGCTTTAAAAAAAAAAAATCTGATGGTTCCCAACTCAATGATGACAGGAGCCTATTTGCACCTTGAGCTTTTTTGGCTGTCTGCTAATTCAATCCTGCTTCCACTTCTAAAATTCTCGTTCTGTGAGTTTTAGCACCACTGACTCTTGTTAATGGGCCACCTCTTGTTTCTCACCCGGTTTTACAGCTTTTCAATTCTTCCCTTGCCTCATTTTAATTTCTGCAGCGTTAGTACTCTGTGAATCATTGATTTTAGCCCTCTTAATACCGCCTCTTTAATTAAAAGTAATTCATCGGCTGCTGTTTCTCAAGGGTAACCAGATTGACTGATAACTTCCTGGCAGCCTCAAACCCAGACGGACTTGTTTCTCTTGGGGCTTAAAGTCAACACCCCCAGCCACGTTGGCTGCGCCCCCTCACCCTTCAGAAAGCAATTTGAACCATGGGGCGATCCTATCTATGTTAAGTAGAGTGGTTGCTATTACCCACCAGTGGCCTTTTATTTCCTTCACAGAGCCATTTATTTTATGTTATCTGGGTCCCCACCCTCACCCCCATTAATACTTGGCAGCTCCTTCAGAGCAAAGGACATGTATGCCTTTTCCACTCCTGGGTGGCTGGCACTGGAACCTGGACGGTGCCTGGTGCCCAGACGGTGCTCAGTAAACGAACGTCAGATGAATGAGCCCAGAGAGTGCTTCTGGGAACCGGTGAGGAAATTTCCAGGCCTAGCAAGGATCGTCCTGACCGCACAAGTGTGTCTGAAATCTGCATGGGGATGTTGCAGTGGGCACGAGCTTGAGGACGCGTGCTCCACGAACGGGTTCCTCTGGAGAAGGGAAGCTGTGACAAGGTGCCGCAGAGCCATCAGCCAGGTGGCCCGATGACCTACGGGTGTGTGTGTGAAACGCTAAGAGGTCAGCTTCCCGGAGCGAAGGAAGACAGTGGGCACTGCCCGAGCCAGACGCAGAAAACGCAGGAAGCTGTAGCCCCGAGTACAGGAGACAAGCTAGGAAGAGACTGTCAAAGGCCCTGGCGGGAATGGAAGAATATTAATTTCCTTGGGCAGATTCTAGTAGCGAGAGCTGTGTTGGTATGAGATGGCTCTACTGAAAAAAATCTGAAATCGGGGGTAAACTTGTCTTGTAAACGGACATCTTAGGTGGAAAACCTTTGCCAGGGCCTTCCAGGGCCCTCAGGACATCTGGTGGCTGGCGGGGTCTCAGCATAGACCACTGATGCACTTCAGCGACAGTCTGACCGCTTATAGCTAAAGTTATCTGCTCCCTGATCTTCGTTTTGAATAGTTCCAATGTAGCCATTGTTCACTGAATTGTGAAAACAAAAGCAGCCTGGATGACTTATCGGTATGAGACATCTGCCTCGTGGTGCTTTGTGAGTGTGGTCCTCACTCCCTGTGACGTTTCCACTGCTGCTGGGGTTCCAGGGTCTGGCTCCTTGTGGCCCCACTTTAATTACCACACAAGAGCCCAGAGTGCATGTGGGTGTGGACTGAGGGGGTGCTTTCCTTAGCTATGTCTCTGGCTCCGTTGCCATTTGTGGACTGGAGACAACATTAGCAACATTTTAGAGTCATTGTTGAGGATTAAGTGAGATAATATAACGATGTCTTTGCAGCCTGTGCTATGTCTAGAAGGGCTGAGCACAACTAACTGGCTTTAAATTATTTTTTTAAAATGTCTTTATTGATTTCAGAGAGAGGAAGGGAGGAGGAGAGAGAGAGAAACATCAATGATGAGAGAGTCATTAATCAGCTGCCCCCCCACCATATATACTCCCTGCTGGGGATTGAGCCCAAAAACCCTGGGCCTGTGCCCTGACCAGGAATCAAACCGAGATCTCCTGGATCCTAGGTCGATGCTCAACCGCTGAGCCACGCTGGCCGGGCTTTAAATTCTTATGTTCCATAACCAGAACTCACATGCTGCTCTCCCATTTCGGTATTATTCCCACTGTGTGGATAAGGCACCCGAGACTCAGAGATTAAGTGATTCCTTCAAGGCTTCTTACTTTAATGTATTAGAGCTGAAGTTGCTACAGGTTTTTGACCAAAGCTTAGAGAGGTAACTCGCTGATAAGAGCAGGAATTCCATCATTAGAGGCGCAGCTGTGCCCTGAGGAAACAGGTGGCATTGGCCTGAGGGGACAGGCCTGGTAAGTTTTGACAGGGCCGAGGGGGGAAATGGGTTTGGAGCACCCGATAAGCAGTGGCCTTTGAGTGGGGGTGGGGCGGGGAAGCTGAGGAAGTGGGAGGGAGAGACTGGGTGGGAGCCCAGCCTGCAGAGCCTGGGCCTCCTAAGGGCATCCGTTCCCACGGGAGGAGCCCTTGCCAGCAAGAGCTCTGAGAAGGACGAAAGGATCAGAAAGGATGCCAGCTGGGCCAGGGACGCCACAGTGCTGCTTCCTTTCTGACAGCGACCTTCTGCAGCAGGAGTCCCCCGGCCTAGGGGCGTTGGCCTGCCCGCCTGGTTGGAGGGTCGGAGGTAACACGCCGGGCTTGTCTCCTACTGCACTGGCATCTCCTTCCCTGCCTGCTCCTCACGCTGCCAACCCCCAGACTGCTGCCTGTCTGGGGGCTACAGCCAGAAGAGTCCTCGTTATCAAGATGGTAAGGCGACACAGGCAAGGAGAGCCTCACAAAGCTGTGGTCAAGCAGACCCGCTTCCCTTAGGGGGCAGGCCCCAAGGCCCCATCTCGGCCCATTCAACACCTAGCAGCCCTCAGGGCGGGGCTTGGGGGAGGAGGGGGTCTTGCTATTTTGCTCCTAACAATTTTCACATGGGTGAGGCAGAGAATGTCCAGTGGCAAGGTGAACCTTCACTGTCCTCCTCTGGGGACAGTCACGGCTTGGCCCTGCCCTGAAGCAAGCCTCTCTCCCTTTCTCCAGTCCCAGGTTCGTGGCTGTGACCTACCTCGGTGGTCCGGAGGCCGTTGTGTTTCTGGGTCAGAGTGCCCGAGCCGAGGCCCTGAGGATGGGGACACTGGGTGCCACAGCTCATCTTCTTCTCGGGGTTGGATATTCCATCTGGGGCTGCAGATCGGGGCACACCATTGGCAGACAGTCCATCTTCCAGCACACCTGGGGGAGGGGAACAGAGAAGGGTGCTAGAGTCTGGCACGTGGCAGTTGCTACAATCGCCAAGAAGAAAGGAGAGTCCCCAGAAATCCCACCGGGCCGAGTTACCCTTTTCTATAAGAACATGTGTGTTGTTGTTTTACAAAAGTGAGATTTTAAAAAATAATTTTGTAACCTGAAAATCTTATTTAACACATCAATGGCATTTTCCCATGCCATTGAATATTGCCATATTATTTTTTACACAGTCTGCTCTTATGTGAATATGTCACCATTTACTTTACTAATCCCTTCTAGTAGAATATGTTTTCAGTTTTTCAAAATAAATGTTATTGTGATGAAGTTATTTGTAGTTAAAGCTTTACTTTTTTTTAATGGCTTCCACCTTTTCACTCTGAGACACTTCAAGACTCGCACCTGACCCCAGTCCTCCCATGCCCATGGCCAGGCCCCTGTGGGGATTAGAGGAAGTGCCTCAGAAAGGCCAAAAACTTGCTCCAAACAATCAACCAGCCAGTAGTGGATCCAGGACTTCAAAACCCAGATCTGGCCTGGCCGGTGCGGCTCAGTGGATGAGTGTCGACCATGCACCAAGAGGTCGCTGGTTCAATTCCAGGTCAGGGCACATGCCCAGGTTTCAGGTTCAGTCCCTGGAAGGGGGCTTGCAGGAGGCAGCCGATCGATGTTGATGTTTCTCCCTCATCGATATTTCTCTCTCTCCCTTCCTCTCTCTCTAAAAACCAATTTAAAAAATATTTAAAAAATCAAAAAACCCAGATCTGTGTGACTCCAAAGATATCTGTTCCCATCTACTGTCTCTGTCATTGCCCCGCTACTTAGCATCACTAAGCCTCAATTTCCTGGGGTATAAAATTAGAATTATGATATCTGCATCAAAGACTGGGGGTCAAAGAGAAAGAGAAGGTAAGCCTGGCTCTGAGCCTGGCACACAGTGGGGTTCATTTCACAGCTTCCTGAGTGCCAGGCACTACAATGTGCCCAAGGCTGACTTTAGATCCTTCCTTGACAGCGAGGGAAGGGCACTAGGTGGGTGAAAGAAAATGGAGAAAAGACATACGAACAAGAGAGTCTCAGCAAAGACCAGCTTTGCCAAGTCCACAACCCTGTCCCAGATCTGGTCAGGGTGCAGCAACTCCTGAAGGGTCTCAGGCTCAGAGCCTAAGGGGCCCCAGGAGGCCAGAAGGTTGAGCTGAAGGGGGAGCCCCAGGCAGATCACTGTTACTTAGGGTCTGTTCACTGCATGTTATCCAAGGGCTGGCACATGACACATCTGACAAGGACAAGCCTTCACTGTGTCTCACCTTCTTTAGAAGGACAGATAATCTGGAGCTTGGCCAGCAACTGGGCCTCTGTTGAGCTGAAGAGAAATGGACAGAAACAGAAAAACAGACCACGGGAACAGTTCATGCATCCTGAGTATTTACTGCATCCCTCTGCGGCACCAGGCTCCGTGCCAGGCCCGGAGGCAGAAGTGAGAGACAGAGACTCCGTCCCTGCCATCTGGCTGTGATGGCTGGGACGCAGGGAGGAGAGTTGTCCAAGAGGTGTTGCTCATGGCAAAGAACAAAACAGGCCAAAGAGAGGCAGAGGCCAAATCATGGGCGGCCGCATGGACTTGGTTAAGGAGTTTGGACAGCGTCGGGTGGGCAAGTGCAGCCTTGGGGCAGTGTGGAGGATCCCTCTCAAGGGCTCCAGCCCGGAGGCAGGGAGGCCAGCGAGGAGACAGCCTTGCCCTTAGGGCTCCTGCTCTCCTAGAGGTTCCCTCTGCGGTCTTCCCAGCTGGACTCGCCAAATTGGAAAAGAAACCGCTCTCAGAAGGCTGCCCCTGGAGGTTATGCCACTTCAAAGAGATGGCTTTGGCCAAAATACACACCTAGTAAGTGCAATTGAGTATTTAGAAAGAAGTGGGGGGCAACAGTAAATTAATTAGGATGATCATCTACAACCACAATCCAGATGAAGAGGTTTCAGTGCCAGTTTCAGAGGGACACAGCCAGAATGAACGGCATTAAGCTTGACAACCACCTCGCCGTGTAGCTCACTGTTAGCGTTTAAGTAGCTGGTGACATCCAGAATCTCTTCTGTAGCAGCTGCATAGGGCAGAGGTGCTGTGAGTTTTCTACCAGAAGCATAAATAAAACTTCAATTGGCCTGATTTGATTTTGTGTTTCTTTAATGCAATGATTAGCTCTCAAATCCCCAGTTCCTGTCTCTGCAGCTTTTCCTGGATACCTTTAAAAGCAGGTTTAAGCTTCCTTTATTTGTTTCTCAGAAGTCAAGTTCAAGCTCCCCCTTTTGACAAGTTCCTGCAAGGTTCTGGGAGTAGGTACAGTTGGCTTTGATCTACATCAATTACCGTTCTTGATATGTACGCAAGGAGGTGGCTTTTCCAATGGAAGAATTTGGACAACATGATCCATCAGGTCAACAGCCTGCTTGTGTGGCCTGATCCCACCCCAAATGCACAGATCCCAGCCCTGCTGGCTTGGTATAACAGACCCAGAGGACGTGAGGCCTGAGAAAAATCAATATCCTTTCTGGGTATTTTCCTCTAACGCAGCTTTTCTTCGGTGTAAAATAAGAGCAAAAGTGATTTTCTTCAAGTTTCCCATTCTAAATATCTAGATCGGACCGCAGGGATTTATAAGAAGGCAGGCAGCCCTATGGAAAACTTCATGAACTCAAGGTCATGCAGGGACTTAGAGGATGCATTCCAGGGACAGGCTCACTCAGGCCCGGCACCACTGACCCAGGGCTTTGTAGCGCCTATCCAGAAAAATCGGTACATGGGGCTCAGACATCACTGAGAAGACGGCCACTCTAAAAATCCTGGTCCCCACTCTTTGCTCTAACATCGTCTCTCTCAGAGAGCACGGCCAACTTCGCCAATCTAGCTCACATCTGATACCCAGCTCTCTGCTCCTATCAGTTCATCTCAACCAGCATCTGCTGAACCCCAGCACAAGCCAGACATTTCACCACGCTCTGGGGCTCACAGAGGGGTACATTACGGTCTTCACCCTGCAGGTATCACACCTAGTGAGAGCAGGAAAGGAGAGCAACGCAGCCCTTGTAAACCCAGTCATTAGAGTGAAGGAAACAATGCTCAGCCCTCCTAAATTGTTAGAAAGCACCGCCTTTGCCCTAGAACACTGGGCAGCTGTACTCAATAAAGGCCAGAAACTCGGGCTCCAGAGGAGCCCAGGCTGCTGAGAAAGGCAGGGGATTGTGCACGAAATCGGTGGCTCGCGGAGAAACCACCTCTGAGATCCAAATACCACCCCCCCCATCTTATTTTTAGAGTTTGAGAAGTATCCCTCTGAACAGCAACTTCAACAACAAAAATTCAAAAGAAAACCTTTGTAAAAATGAGTGAAAGGACATTTTGTCTAAATTTTCTTCCCACGCAAAGCTGGGAACACATGGGGAAAAGACACCAGTACTCCCCAGCTCCGGCTCATCTGGCACGGGGGGGCAGCACCGCAGAGGGGCAGGACGGGGCCCCCAGGGCCTCTGCCCTCAAAGAGCCAAAGTATTGACTCATGGTCCCTCCTTAGAAATATTGATTTAAATGGAGGCCCAATAAGAAACTTCCTGGATCATGTCTTAGGCAAAGATGACCTCCTCTGGCCAAGACAGATCTGCGTCTTGTACCCACAGCGTGTGGTCATTTCAGGGAAGAGGGAACATTGGAGAGTCCACCAGGAACTCTGAAAGGAGTTGAACTTGTACAACTAGAAGAACAAACTGAGAACGGATCATTACAGGGGGGAAAGTAGGCACCTGCATCACCTTTTCAGGGAAAGCAAATGGGCAGTCAGGAAAAGTTATTCTTTATAAAAGAATTCCAGCCAATAGATGTTGAAGAAATGTTAGAATATCACCATTTTGCAATTCCCAATGAAATAATTCATGTAGACGGCGATGATCTCCGACTGAAAGCTGATGAGGAACTTCATAATGGATGGACTGGGCTGTCTCAGCCAATGTTAACGTCACAGAAAGAGAGAGAACCGGATAAATACCAACCAAATACAATGTGTGGGCACTGTCTGCATCCCAATCCGAATGAACCAATTATAGAAAAGACATTCATGAGACCATTGGTGAAATTTGGACAATGACTGAATTTTGGTGACATAAGTATTAGAGGAATTTTCATTAATTTTTAGGTGTGATAATAGTATTGTGATTATAGTTCATTGAAAGACATAGAATTGCCATTTCAACCTACAAAAATAACAATTTCATATGGTTCAATCTTACATATTTTTTAAGAGTCCTTATTTTTTAGAGATCCACACTGAAGTATTTTCAGATGAAGCTACAGGACTTCCGGAATTTGCTTCAATAATTTAATTGGTGGAGGTAGAGATGAGACAAGATTTGCATGTGCTAATAATTGTCGAAGCTGGATGAGGTTTATTTTACTATTCTCCCAATTTATATATATGTTTGAAAAACGTGTTTGTGTAGTTTTAAAACTTTTATACATATATGTTTGAAATGTTATATTTAAAAAATACCTATGGCTACAATTAAGGGATTCCAGGAATGTTTAGAGCAATTGCAACCCCACGGTGTCTGCTGGGAGGAGACACTGCTCAGGTGAAGACATAGCCTCTGGTGTATGTAGGGCGAGGGGGGGGGGG